TTATAAAAATTATAAAAGGATATATCTAATTCATTTTCATTAATGTCAGTATCTAAATAAAAAGGTGAACTGTTATTATTGTCAATGATTATTATTATCAAGGTTTTCTGAATTTATTGTACAAAAAAATGGCGTTTTATATAAGGTGATACGCGTTACAATTAATAATATATAATTTTTAACTTTTTTTTTTTAACTAAAATTTAATTGGTTAGGACCTATTTAGGACTTAGTCTCTATTAGTCTAAAAAATTAGACTTAATGATCTGCAGACTTAGTCTTAAGACCGGGTCTTTAAGTCTAGGACCTAAGACTTTAACAACCCTAATAACGATGATACTGTTGTAGATGATAATAAATTGAAATCAAAGATAGATTTGTCTGAATTCGAAAAGACATATTTAAAAATGAATTATTCAGACAAATAGACCCTTTCTATAGGAAAAATAGTAGAAGATGCATTATACGATTTTGGTGTTAAATGTAAGCACAAGCAGTAAGTATCCTTTATGTATTAGACAAAGCTCAGGTTCTATTACTTGACATCTAACATTTTGCGACTTTCCAAAGCCTATGTCATTCATTTGTGATAGATCCAAATGATAAAATTTATATCAATAAAGAAGTTTTTACTGAGACTGAACTTGAAGAAATTTAAAAATATAAACTTAAGTCAATATCACAGATATTCTAAGACTTATTAACGTTCCTTAACAGTTTTCGTATGATAGGTAGATTTATATATCTTGTTGATAATACTACTATGATCATTTACTTACTTGTACATCCTGAATTAGTTCGACATCTCAAGTCTTAGAGATGCTATATTTAAATCTCAGCAGTGGGATTCTTCATACAATCGACAAACAAATTTTGATCATGATTAGATTCAAAATATCGCATACAACTTGTTAGTTTTGTCTAATAGTAAATTATATCTTTTTATTCCTGAATTATTAATGTTTATCTTGATCTACAGGTTACATGAATATGAAGCGGGGAGTTTAGAGAAGGATCATCTGGAATTATGGCTCCTGATTCATGTTTGGAATTTTGTAAACAGAGGATTTAGGAATGTCGATGGTTTGGAAACTGCAAGGTAGGGAAGATAACACTATAACCATTTTTCTATGATAAGTGGTTCACATCTATTTTGCATTAGGTCAGAGTCATCTAGCTAGGCATCCTCAAATAGGAAAAATCATAATTGAACCAGATCTGTAATTGTCAAAATGAAGAGAAAGATTATGAGAAGGCGTAGAGATCTTATAATTTGAAAGGTTTCTACTGAGTACGGATGTTCAGAGGCCGGTAAATCTTTTGAAGGTAACAATGAAACAAAACTTTTGCATGAAAGAGGTATAAAAGCTCTGAAGATGATGAAGGATATGTTTTATTCTTTGTGTGAAGCTATTGGAAATGAAGAGAAAAAGATAAGGAAACTACAATCTATTGGGTTTATACACTCAGGTAGGTGTTGATGATGGAGTTCCTCATATTATATATTATTTTAGTGACTTATTTTATCATTTCTCTGTGAATGAAATTTAGGTCTAATGATATTATTGCTCAGATTAGATTCCCCTGCTGGCTATACATACCGAATAACCTGAACAAAAATGTTAGAAATCTCCTTAAAAATAATACAATTTGGCTCAAAAATACTTCCTGTAATTATGTTAGCGTGAAAGGCAAAGGTATGTACTTTTGTTTAAGCATTTGTAGTTTACAATCACTTAGGTCTAATAATTTTTATTATTTCACAGATGATTGTTAAGGAAACAATCGAATTTGTTAAGCAAAAACAATATTTAGAGAATAAAGAAAATACAGATGATCAACTTTAAAATTTACAAAACAGTTGTGAATTTTCTTTTTTACAGAAAAAAATAAATCAAGCGGTTATTTTCGAATTTCCGATTTTAAAGAACAAGACTAAAAAAATGGATAACTCTGAACTCTAATAACAAGTCTAAACGAAATTCTAAGAAATAGCCTCATATTTTTAATCGTATGTAGTATTTAGCTATTGGATTTCATGTAAAAATAAAATAGACAGGTTAAATATGAGCTTATTGTCCTGAAAAAAAATTGCTTAATTATAATAAAGAATCATTTGACCATTATGAGGAACGAATAACTGCCATGAATTAATAAAATGAAAGCTCGAATTAGCCGATCACCTGTGATTTGAAAAATTCTATGATAGTGCCAGGGGAGTATTGTGAAACTAATAGTGAACCAGAGGGTTTTCTATACTATATTTTTTATGATTACACCATCATGGGCCTTGTGATTAGATCTAATCATTTAATTTAACCGAATCATAACGTCAGAAAAAAATTATGAATCTGTTTTTCACCCCGAACAAGGAACGTAATTAGGGTTGTTAAAGTCTTAGATCCTAGACTTAAAGATCCAGTCTTAAGACTAAGTCTGCAGATCATTAAGTCTAATTTTTTAGACTAATAGAAACTAAGTCTTAAATAGGTCCTAACCAATTAAATTTTAGTTAAAAAAAAAAGTTAAAAATTATATATTATTAAATGTAACGCGTATCACCTTATATAAAATGCCATTTTTTTGTACAATGAATTCAGAAAACCTTGATAATAATAATCTTATTGACAACAATAACAGTTCACCTTTTTATTTAGATACTGACATTAATGAAAATGAATTAGATATATCCTTTTATAATTTTTATAA